CTTTTTTCTCATTTGTATTTTATTTTGATTGAATAAAAAAAAAAAAAAAATTTCCCCCGTGCCGCTGCAGTGGGACAATCCGGTGTTTTTATTCTGAGTCACGGCACACTTTTATACTACGCGAAATCTCCAGGCACCCCAGTCCAAGGCCCCGTTCAGACTTTCCCGTCACGTTACTGCGCAACACATTTTGCCGTGTGTCAGCCTATTCATTTTCGATGGGCCGCCGCACACGCAACGAACACGGCAAAGAAGCTCATGCAGCATTTTGAGGTGCAATCTTCACGTGGCCTTTGACCACTTCACGTGGCATTTGACGGCATTTCAACATACGGGCTGTGTTTGGGGTGCCTTAAAGAAGTCATGACACCGCATGCGCATCACGGATCCACGACTTTTTTTTCGACCGCGGCATTGCGGTACCATGCGTTGGAGCACAGTCGAGCGCATTGTGGGTAGGCAAGCATCTTTGTGGTACCATTAAAATGAATGGTAAAGCACAACACTTGCCACACTGTAACACACAGTAGCATGCATTCATCACACAGGACCGTGCGATTACCACACGGCATTGGTGTGAACAAGCCCTAAGAGGAGTGATGCCTCCTGGTTTCTTCCTCTCCTCACCGGCAAACATCCGCACAGCTCTCATCCCGCCCCTTCCTGCTTCCCCCGTCCCAAAAGACAGGGTGGCTGCGGTATGCTGCGGGACGTCTGGCACTGCTCCTACGTGTAATAAACTTGTACCCCTAATCCAACAGAAGGGGGCGTGTCCATGACACCCTGGACTCAGCAGACAGGACGCCGGGTGTCATTCCACTAGGAGGATACAGGGGGCAGTACTGAAGAGGGGGATGGGGAAACAGGAAGCATTGTAAAAAAACAAATGACAGCCGGCGTTGGGGAGTCATTAATATAAACCAGGAACAGAATTCCATGTTTTAGAAGAGAGCCCACTCTAAAAGGGGGAAACACAGTCACTGCTGGGAGGGTGGAGCAGGGAGAGCTAAGCTGCAGTGTCACTGATGGGAGGGGTGAGTTAAGCTGCCTGGTCTCTGGGAGGAGGAGCAGGGTGAGGTGAGCTGTGGAGATAACTTGATTGGTTTCAGGGACTGTTAACATTTGAGGATGAATTCCTCCACAGTGCCGGAAGTTAGAGGTCAGTAAGGACCTATTATTATTTCAATATTCAATGTCTGTAGTCAGGATTCAGGTTCCCTGACTGTGATCACAAACAGTTCTGATCAGCTGAGTAACTGCTGGGAGGAGGAGCAGGGTGAGGTGAGCTGTGGAGATAACTTGATTGGTTTCAGGGACTGTTAACATTTGAGGATGAATTCCTCCACAGTGCCGGAAGTTAGAGGTCAGTAAGGACCTATTATTATTTCAATATTCAATGTCTGTAGTCAGGATTCAGGTTCCCTGACTGTGATCACAAACAGTTCTGATGCAAGGCCACAAGAAGGACCTAAACATAATTGAATGTCCACCCCGCCCCCTTCTCCTGGTATATTCAAGTCAACAAATGAAAACCAACAGCATCTTCAGAACTTTGTCACATCTTTGCTGGTTTCCTGCAGACTTTGTGTGTTTATCCCTTAGAATGTAACTGAGAGCTGGTGGGAGGCTAGCCTTTAGTCTTCTAGATTTGTCCTGTAGGTGGCAGTATAACCCTAGGCTGCTCATTTATCATCAAGCTGTGTCCTTCAGGGTATAACAGGACAGTAGATTACTTCCTGTGAGCCTCAATGGATCAGAGGCACACGAGTTCTAGCACCAGCCACACACAACCCCCTACGCCAAGTCTCCATCCCAGAGCACTTCCCGCTGCATTAGCCGTCATTACTCACCTTGTAGACTACCTCCTCCTTCCGCACCCTATTGGTTGTCGCACACGGTGGCAGGAAGCTTTGCCGTCCTCAGAACATGGAGAGATTATTAAAATTGAAATAAATAGATACGTTGGACAGAACAAACTCCCCAAAATCTCGGGACACCGCAGCCTCCTGGATTTGGAGGTTTTTATTTTATTTTATTGGTTTCCACCCACAATCTGCAACTCCGGGCAAAAGAAAAATAACAGACAGGCCCGTCAGTATTATGACCACGGATATTTATTTCTCCCCCAGTTCCTGCATTAGCGTGACAACGCTGTTCTTTCTGCAGGGAGGTCACACAGCAGTGTTGTCACTCTGTACAGGACTGCAGTTGATGGATATTTAAATGGAGTTTAGGAAAAGAAATGTGGATTTTGTACTCCCCGTAAAATCTTTTTCTTGGTGTCCTGCGAGGGACAGACACACACACAGTCATATACTGTTGGGTTATACTGCCACCGACAGAAGAACTGGACACAAACAAAAAAAAAAACTAGGTCAGCCCAGGATCGCTGCTACCGTGCAGGAGTATTTACCGAGCAGTACTGAGAACATAAACAGACGGGTGGGACACCAAGAAAAATATTTTACAGTAAGGAAAAAAATCCTCTCACAGAAGTCAGGAGGACCAAAACCAGTCCAACTGAGGGCGAAGGGCAACAGAAAACCCACAAAAAAAAAAACTGAATCTGAGACTGCCTGTAGTCACCTGAAGGAGTGCATGCTAAAAGCTGATGCCTGGACATCCTCCTGGGAGAACATGTTGAGAAGATGAGGTGCCACCCTTGCAAATTAGAGAAAGAAGCCTGACGTTGAAGAGCCCAAGACACACACAGGCTCATCGGAGTGCTCCTTGCCAGGAAAGGGTGGAACCTGATCCTGAAGACCATCGTGGAAAGAGAAGATGGCTCACCCTCATAAGGACCATTAAGGATGACAAAGACTAGGGATGCCCCGATACCAGGCATTTTCAGGAGTACTTGTACTCCTGAAAATGCCACGATTCTTAAGGCTGATGCCGGCCCTTTAAAATTTTGTGGGGTCCTCGGCAGTAGCTGTTTACTGAGATCCACATGCCGCCCAGCTGAGACTGCAGCCTTCTGCTCTGGTGGTATGTAAATGTGCTGCTGTGGGATCTATTGTGCAGATGCTCTGG